TGTGCTTAACTTTAACCTCTTCACTGAAATGACGGCTCAGGTCAGACACAACCCTGACTTCCCTGACAGAAAAGCAATTACTGAACAAAATCACATTTAAGCAGAGACTTCAGATGTTGCCATTATAAAGACAGGTCTGAGTGCAAGGCCACAGGAGGAATCAGACAGAAATTAATAAAATGATAACCTATATGAATATGGGGGAGCTGGTTGAAGAAAATTATAGTTTTCCTTCCTTCTGGCCTGTTGTGGGACTTTCCTGGAGTTTTCTGCAGGCGTTTGTTGAGAGCATTCGTTTGCTTGCTTGGCTGTTGCTCAGGCCTATGTTGAACTGTGCAGCTCAGACTGGCCTCCAACGCAAGCTTCTCCTGCCTCAGCTTCCGGAGTGCTAGGGCTACAGACATGTGCTCACTCCTGGCATGCTGAGGCTTCCTTGTGTTTATTGATGCGGATGCAGGAAGTGATGACTTGATGGCACTGTGAACTGCTGGTGTCCTGAGCAGCTCTCACTCACCTGGAGGGCAGGTTTCTGTGCCTTGCTGTGTTACTCAGCTCTCTGTCACCGAAACCTAATACTGCCCTAACCACTGGAAGGAGGGAAGATTTTGTTGGGGTCATCATTTCAGAGGCTTCAGTCCGTGGTCTGCTGGCTCCGCTGCTTCCATGCATGGTGGAGTGGAGGTTCCTTACCTCTTGGCAGCCAGGAAACAGAGAGGTAGGGGAAAAGCCAGAGATGAAAGGCGGGAAACGAAACAGGCCCCAGTGAGCTCCTTCCTCCAGCTGGACTCCACCTCCTCATCACCTCCGGATAATGGATCCACCCACTGATGAACTTAGAGTCCTCCCTGTCCTGTCACCTTCTGAAAGCCCCACCTCTGAATGCGCGAAACTTTCAGGGAGACACTTTAGGGCTAACACAAGACACTTGCTGAAAGCCCCGCACCCTCGTCTTGGTCCCCAGATCAAGTCAGTCAGTTGTGCATGTTCTTGGCTTTGATCACTCAAGAACTTGTTGGAAGCTAATGAAAATGACATCAGGTGTCTGGAGGAGTAGTAGTGACAGGTGGCCGCACACTCAACATGATTAATGCACACGTGAGCTGCGGCTGGGCTGCAGTCTTGTGACTGCACGGAAATGTGTGATTTTTGTAAATAATTACAAGTACTTCTGCTGGAACTTTTAAGAACTGTGTTCTTGGATAATTCATCCATTTTCTAGCTCCCCTCCAGTAGAATTGTCATAGAGGTGTTAAGAATTTCTTGGAGCCCCTGCCCAGCCTGCTATTGATAATGAGACATCTCCAGAGCTCTCCTTTGAACGAATGCCACCGCCTTCCTCTAGCTTCGCCTGGACACTGCCCACTGGGGCCATGCAGCTTCTCGCCCGGGCGTACCCTGATTCCTACTGAGGACCTGGCGTTTAGCCCTTGCCCATGTCCTTCTGACCAGATCCTAATCGCCCCTTGCCTAGGCTGTGTCGTTTCCAGCCTTTCCCTCCTGTGGGAAAAGCTGCTGCTTCAGAGCTGACCAAGTGCCCTGCCGTGGCCTACAGAGCCTCCTGTCGCCTACCGAATGAAGTTCACTCCCTTCAAGGGCATGTCTGCACTGCTGACCCCGGCTGTCCTGCCCCAAAGCCCAGCTGTACACCGTGGCTCCGGTTCGCACCCCAGTCCCACAGTGGACTCGCCATTTCACTTGCCTGACACGCTCTCCCTGGAGTGCTTCTATTTACTTGGGGTACACCTTCAAGCCTGGAGTAGCTTTCTACAGCATATCAGCCTGCCTGAATTCTCCTGTGGTCCAGGCTCAAT